AATGGACCGGCGACCATTCCGAGCGGATACATGACATGAAATACATACCTCAAACATGGTACCGTAATTATAATCAATGTAGTACTTAGTTTGAGTCCCCACCTGATCCGTTAAAATAAAGGCAGTGCTGATACTCGTGACCTGATCAGACTGAAATATAATATAAACAATTACTAATGACTATGCTCAGACTGTTAACTTAACTGATTAATTTCGTTAAGATGCTCTACTGAACCTGACATGATATTTAGACTTAACCGGAATAACCGGAACTGATTTAACATGAATTGATCGGACATGAACTTAATGAACTGAACTGAACCCGGAATTTTAACTGAAATGGAACTTAAAAATGCGAACCGGGATTAAAATAATGTTATTTGGGTCAAACCGGTATTAACCGGTCTGAACCGGTCTGGCCGGACCACCGGTCTGCTCGGACCGGTCGGCTGGCGGCTGACTCAGTCCACGACCTTGCCATGACTGTGGTGCGACTGCATGCTGAACTGGGCGTGGGCACGGCCGCTGCCGGGCCTGCCCTGGCCATGGCTGGGGTGCTATGTGCACCTTGCCACGACAGACGTGCGATAGGCCCATCAGGGCATGACTTGTGGCACGGCCGTACGCTATGTGCGTCGGCTGCCTCTTCTCTGGCACAGTTCGGGTGCTGCCATGCACCGAAACGTGCCACTGGGCGCGCATCGGCACTGGACAACGTGACTGGCACCATGCGGCCCGCTGTCGTGCGACATCGTGCGCTGGCGTGCGTTACCGCATGTTGGCGAGCTTGGCTGGGCGTTGGCGTACACCGGCGCACTGCCAACGGCTACTCGCAGCGGGTACTGATCACACGCAGTACCTGCCGCGCATTACCTGCACTACCCGCACACTGGCCGCTGTGCTGGGTGACTGCTGGGCGTGACTGCCGCTATGTGCGGACAGTCTGCCCACTACCCGCCCCCTTACCGGCCGTTCTATCATTTCTTCCGGCAACCTCAGCATGATTAAGAATACTTTAATAGGACATGATCAAATATGCTGGTTATCTCAAAATTAACCCCTTTTGTTCGCTGGACTAATAACAAGCCGAGGTTCGCACACCGTGTGCGTGTGATCGGCATTAGGCTAATCCCTTGACCGAACTCTAATTCCTCCCGCCCAACAAGACTTGGCTGATCATAAAACATTATTTAAAAACTGTTGGGACATGAATCATACGGACAAATATGTTCATAATAAATGATAACATGACATGGTCTATAATGGCCCGTAGGCATGCGCTATATGCACTACCAACGTCTGTAAGCCAATTCATGCCTAAACCTGCAATTTGCCCCGACCAACATGGATCAACTGAGTATGAAATGATCTAAAATGACTAAATAAACATGAATTTCACGAGAGTTGCCGGATAGAAAAGGACTTTACTCGGTCATGGCCTATAATAGCCTAAACCGAGCCTATTATCGCCTATTCATGAAATTTCAAGGTATGAGCTGAACAATTTCATACCAACTTAACTTATAACATGAAACAGAGTTGAAGATGAGAGTACCTCTCCAAACGTTCGGCTGAAAACGAAAGATAGGGCGTGATTCTTGGCTCCGTGTGCGTGTGCTTGATACTTGGCTTGTGCGTGGTGTATAGGAAAATTAAGGAGATTGCTTGACTACTTATTTGCTGAACTTGCAAATTGTTTAGGAGGAGAGAATATATATATATGGCTGCTGAACATGAGATGAAAAATTTTCCCTAAGTACCTCACTTTATATGCTACGGCCGAAAAGAAAAAAAACCCAACTTAAGGATGATGTAGGTGAGACGTGGCTTCCTCAAATCTTGCCAAATGATGGCTACTTAGGTGGTTAATGGGGTGACTAATCACCTCTTAATTTTGCCACGTTTCATGATCCAAAAGAAGGAAGAATTAACTTTCCCAAACTTGAAGTAAGGCTACGGCTTAGGGAAAATATTGTACGGCTTTTAAGCTTAATTTAATGATTAATTGCTAATTAATTATTTTCTTATGTTTAATTATTTAATTAAACATAATGCTTAATTACCAAAATTATTCCGAACGTAAACGGTACGTCGAAAATAAATTTCGGTAATCTCGACTGAAAATAATTAATTCCGAAAAAATACTCGACAATATTAATATATCGGAACTAAACATGATTTATACTGATAAAATGACGGGATATTACAAATTCCATACATGAACATAGAACATTTCATGGCGTTGCCTTGAGAACTTACACTTTAACTTGACTTGCATGAACCATGACTTATTTCATAAATAAACTTTGCATAGCGGAAGCATAAGTATCATAAACATAAAAACATGTGACCACCCTCGCCATCGCTCCTTTGCCAGCTCGCCAAAAACCTGGTGTGGAAAACAAATGGGGTGAGCATTTCCACTTACTCCATGAGAGATCCCTCTACGTTATCATCCTAATCAACTATAAAGCATGAAATCATTTTTGTATACTCCACATAGTCATGTGCTCCCGACGAGTGTGACCCACAAGTCGAAAGACTTTCTTGCTTCTATAACACTATTAGACAACTAAACACTAGAGTCTTTGCATGCAGGTGATTACATTCTTGTCACACTCCCACCACTCACCAAACTTCTTATACCACTTTATGGTGGTGGAAGAACGATGCGTCTCGCAGATGGCACGGCCAAATAGGCTTGATGAGAGTACCTTTCAATAGGTTGATGGAAGATAGCCTTTCAATAGGCTCCGTACAGTCTTATCGACGGGGACAACTGTTCGAAGAGTGCACCAACGAAGGTTACACATAATCACTTACACCCTCTAACCCTAGCACTTAGCTACCCTCTAGAGTTATAGTCCGTGAACCTTGGTACTGCAACACTCGACTTGCTCGAATGTTGGAACATTGTATAAACATGGGTACTATGCAAGCTACTTAACTTCATTCAATGCATAGATAATTAAAGAGGATTAATAAAGTAGAACTTCCCCCACCTTTTTAGTAGAATGCTCGGCTTAGACTTGAACTTGACTTTGAAAGAAACTCGAGGTCTCGACTCCTCGTAAAACTACATTCATCGGGGTCATGTCTTAGTGTCTTAACATGGAACTTATTCTTATAATTATACTTATAACAATACATATGCTTTTGAAAACATTCTTACTTAAATCTTTGAATAATTGAACTCTTAGCTTGCTTACTTAAGGACACCCTTTAAATCATCTACGGTTCATCATGATCTCACTCGATTCTTTACAGCTCATACATGTCACATAAGCATGCTTAATAGACTTAAGAACCATTTAAACAAATATACTTAACACTTGACAAAACTTGGCATGCGCTGCATTTTTAAAACGAGCATATCTTTCAACATACAAATCGCATTAACATTATTCAAATCTCATATTGCTCCTAAGACATGGTACTACAACTTTTATTTAGCACTCGAAAGCAAATAAGGTCATATACATGGTCCGAAACCAACAAACATTCAAGGCTCAAATGCTGTCCAGAAATTAAAATAAATCCATGCGCGGTTTTACGAAAACAGGCATCATTCACTACTCGGACCATATTTTTGCATGATTCCAGAATCATATGAAAGCTAACACACAGAACTACAATCTCAATGAAGACCTCAGGTTCATTTGAGCATATTATTATATCATAAACACACCAAACATCCAAACCTAACTGCAGCCCGGATTTAGGAAAAATTGCTCGCGCAACAATTTTGTAAAAATCATAACTTATTCGTTTTAAGTCGAAATTGCACGATTCTAAAGCTTACGTAAACACAACTGAACGAACTACATATCTTATGAAGAACTTGAAAGCCGAAAACACAGTCTCAGGGGCCTAAACTTCTTCCGAACAGACAGCACAAAAACAACAATTCACATGCGATCATGACACTTGTTTCCGAACTTCATAATATTTCGAAAGCAACCTAAAGCAATGATTCTAGGCACGTTTATCACATAATAAGACACGATTATGAACACATAAATTGATAACAATTAACCCTATTCACATATCATTCAATTAATTCTTTCGGAAGCCCGGCAAGGCTCCAACCAATTCCAACTCAACAATAACTCAACAATTACTCGACTTAAGCAAGCGTAAGAGGTTCAATTATCTACTTTAAACACATTAATAATTTGTTCATGATTATTCAAACTCGAAATAACAGTCCATAGGAGGTTAAGGCTTTAGGGTTTACCGCTCAGATAGAAAGGTAACGGTAATGGCTCGAAAGGGGCTCGAATGAGGGCTCGGTGAACTCGGCCGTGTACGTGGAGGCTGCTCGCTTGTCGTGAACTTGGTCAGCCTGCTCGTTGAGACTCCACGATGGTCGAAGGTGGTGCTGGTCGTGGATGGTGGTGGCATGCTGTGGGAACGATGATGGAGGCGGCTGCGATGAAGGGCAACTCGCGGTGGCTGCTCGACGATGATGACGGATGGCTGCTCGAGATGGCTGTGCGCGGAGTAGGATGATGGAATAGGGCTGAGGGACGGCGGAGGCTCGCGGTGACGAAAGGCTGCAGAGGTGCTGCTTCACGGTGGCTGGGACGCGGCGGACTGCGTCGGCTACGTTTAACGCTCCGACGGAACTCGGCGGGGCTCGACGGCTGCGATGGGTACTCCCACAGAACTCCTCGGGTCCCGACAGCGTTGCTTCGTGGAGGGCTGCTCGCTGCTTGACGTGGAAGTTGAGGATGACGGAGGCGCTGCTACTCGTTCACGGTGGCTGCGCGCGAAGGGAGCGGCGGAGATGGGCTGCTGTTCGTTGCTATGGGACGATGATCAATGGTGGTGACGGTGATTGACGATGAAGATGACGATGAAAAGCGAGAGAGGGAGAGAAGAGAGAGAGTTCGGGCGTGAGAGATATGAGAGATAGAGGGGAGAGTTTTTGTAATGTTGGGATTTGATACCGTAAACAATAAGAACTCTTGAACAATAGGACTAGGAAACTGATAAATATTAGGATTCTTTCTGGCTTGGATGAGGAATAAAATATCGTAGGGTCTTGAACTTTTATCTGGCTTAGGAAAATTAGACTGTTATTTTGAGCTCAGTTTATCATCTTAATAATTATTATCTTCATTAATTAAAATTATATTAATTAAATTAAGCCATTTCATATATAAAAATTATATCATTATTATTGCATTTTATAGTTAGGAAAATTAAATAGATGAGGACATCTAAATAATTCCATTTTTATCGTTAACTTGATAAATAAATGAGTGTGGACACTCACTTAATTATCACATTAAAATCGAGCTTACAATAAAAATAATATTATAAATCATTAAATTAAACATAAATAATATCCATGAAAAATAATACTTAATCATAAAATGACATGAGTTTGGTGTGTTACAATCTACCCTTCTAATGCAAGTGTAAGCGTCCTGGTCCGGTTTGAACGGATAGATCTTGGTCCTCGCCGGTAGAACGCCGGAAACCTGCAAATAACTCTCACACCGGGGGTTGTGTCCGGTGAAGAGCCTCCGATGCTTAAGTCAGTATGTATATGAGTATACTGGAATTGAGAGAATGAATAGAATGTGTTTGGGAAGAAAGGCTCACCCCTTTTATATAAGGGTGAGATACCTGCCCTAAGAGCTGCCCGGATGAGGTGAGCTGGCTGCCCAAGCTGCCCGTCCGTACTCTGACACGCCGCACACATGTCAGAGGTGGCGCAGGACGTTGGGAGTCGTCAGAGGTAGTTATCACCATCACCCAATACATTGTCGACACGTGTTTCCCTAGCACATGGGGTAAATATTCTCTAGAGATTTCAGTCAGAGGCTCCTACGCGCGCCTATGATACACGCGCCCATAACTAGGTCGATTATGAATTCCTCGAAGCGATCACCCTGCTGGGATCGACTAGCTTGCTCGATCACTTATCTGATCGAATTATAGACTGCTCGATGTACCTGATCGAGCATTGGACTGCTCGATTTCTTGTCCGGTCGAGCGTTGGGTTGCTCGATTGCTTGTCTGTTCGAGCCTTGAGCTGCTCGAGCGTCAACTCTCCCGCCTTTTTGGCTCGGCCTGCTTCCGGTTTGGCCTCCTCGACCGGCCAAGTAGGCCGGTTTATCCTTGAGTATATAATATCCTATATCATCTAGTCCCCCCCACTCTGGTCGAGTCTAGATGACTCGATCTAAGAGTGAATTGGTATTTATCGACCTCCTTGATGGTTCGTCATCCAATGTCGACCACCCAATAGGTTTCCCGCTCATGTTTTCAAATAATTTCCCATTAATTGCCAGTAATAAAGTCGTCTGTTTCAAGTCCTTCCTGTCGCTCCTGCTTTTTTGCCATGCGTCACGCCTGTTCGCGTGTGTCAGGCACTTTAATGATGGCGCCCCCTCGCATAACGTGCCCACTTGGAGTACCGTGTAATATAATTTTTCGGCCGCACGATCCAACTTTAATCTGACGGTTCTCCTCTTTCACCCCTTAAACTCTCCAAGGTATAAAACCGATACTTAGCAGAATTTTAGACTTTTTCCACCTTCATCTCTCCCAAATTCCTTTGCATTCAAAGTTCTCTCTGCAAAAAATCCTAGCTCCCGTCGGCGATTTTCCCTGCAATCTTCAAGTTTTCCCGATTCTCTCCTCCGTGATTATGAGTAAGTTGTTTTTCTCCTGATTTTGTACTTCATGTATCTGGGCTTTTGTGTTTTGAGAAATTTTTTCTCTCTTTTCTTTTTCGAATTGGGTATCTGAAGTTTGTTGATTGAGTGTTTTGAATCTGTGCATTGAATTTTTGTGCTTGTCTGTTGATCGTTGTAGATTTCGCCCTTCCCCTTTGAAATTCTCTCGGAATCCCTGTTCCTTTTCTTCAAAATAACCCCTTTCGTGGAACCCTAATTTTGAAAACCTTCTCCTCCTACCCTTCTCATTTTTTGCCAAAATTCCTCTTTTTGATATTGTTCCTCTCTTCTTTTGTTTTCAGATCCTGCTACCTCGACCACCTCCTCTGGTTCGGTTGAGATCTTGCCTTCCGCACTTGAAGTCGTTCCTCTATCGATTCTTCGCCCCGGTGATACTGTTCCTACCCGTGTCTTCATAGCTCGTGTTGCTTCTTCCAACTCCGGCGACACCATGGATAATATCCCTCTCCGCCGTCGTCGACCCGCCTTTGGTTCAATGGACGAGCCAGAGGAAGACGAGGCTATTTCTTCTCAACCCGCCGTTCCCGCATCTTCGACCGTTCCTCCTTCTTCAAATTCTCCGCCCAAGCGGTCCTCGACCAAGAAACCTTCCAAGCGACCTTCTTCTACCTCTCTCTCTCACCCCTGGTTTAATCCTGACAAAATCGGCCAACCTCTTGGTTGGGTGTTCATTAGATCTTCCCCCTCCGATCGATATGATCATCCTCCGCGAGATTGCTATCCTTTCTTCAAGATTCAGTTCAAGCTCGGTCTCCGTTTTCCTCTAAGTCCTGAGCTACTTCGCATTTGCGAGTGGTTCTCTCTTCCTCTGCATCAACTTCCCCCCAATGCCATTCGCTTCATGAACGTTTTCATTATTCTTTGCCATGTCCGTTTGGGTCGATTCGATCTAGACTTCTTCCACTATTGCTATGGCCCTTCGAAGCAAGGTCGAGGCCTTTACTTGAAAAGCCGTAATGGCGCCAACTTCATAAACGACATTCCTTCTAACCTCCCCAAGTGGAGTGATAAGTTTATTTTTGTTCGACCTGACGCTCCTTTCCCATGGCCTTCTATTGCTTGTATCAAGGAAGTTTCGCGAGAGGCGGCCTCGGCCCCTCCTTCGAACCCTCTCTTCGACCAGCACTTCACACCCAGAATGCCAAATCTGTTGAGTCTGAAAAACTCCTTGGTGATGAAAATCTTCTCCACTTTTGCGGTCTGCTCACCCATAAAACTCTTTCTCCTCCTATTGAGGAGATTCTCAATCTTGTTCGTATTGACAATGATCCAGGTGATTCTTGATCCATTTGCTCGACTGTTCGTGTGTTTCCTCGTTTTTGTTCTGAATAATTATTACTGATCTCGAGTATACTCTATGTCGCTATTTTCTTGCAGAGGCGCCCAGCTTCAGCATCCCTCCGAGGAGAACCCCCCTGAAAAAGAAGGCAGGGAGCACCTCTGGCTCAGCCGGGGGCCAGGTAGAGGGGTCGACCCATTCTTCGGGATCTCATCCAGAGCCGCAACCGCGGTCGCCTCCACGAGAGACCCCTTTACCCCCGCCCCCACCACCGGGGCCACAGCAACTTCAACAACCACAACCAAAACAGCAACAACAACAGCCTCTACAGCACCAGCAACAACAACAGCCAAAACAACAGCAACAACAGCAACAACAACAACAACAACAACAGCCATCCCCCAAGACCTCGTAGCAGCTACCTTCCAAAACCTCGCAACAGCAACCCCCCAAAGACAAATCTGCCTCTCAGTCGACCTCCAAGTCGTCGACCACCTCGAAACCTATCGACCAACAACATAAATCCAGTGATCGCCCAAAAACCGTTGACCGCCATCAGAGATCGGACGACCGCTCACAGAAAACCGGTTCTCGGGCTTCCAATCCCAAAGACAACCCTCAAGACCAGCCTGCTAATAAGTCTTCCGACCCCCACACTTCATCCAAGACCAAAACCCAGGACAAACTGCCTCTCACCCAACACTCCTCTAAAACCACTTCTGCCGGGTCGACCAAGGCTCTGGTCGAATCCGGCCATCGTGATGGCGCGGAACACGAGGGGGCCTTGGGCAAACGTTCTCGCACCGAGCAGGGCGAAGTAGTTGCCAAGCGAGGGCGCAGCAGTTATATTCCTCCTGACCCGCTCGCCCCGAGGCCGACATCTCTATTATCCGCCTCTGTGAACGAGGTGGCCAACCGCCTCGAAGGTGCCCTTCTCGAGGACGACCGCAAAAAAGCTAGAGTCACTCTGCCCGAGGTCGGCGACAAGCTCGTGCAGTGGCTCGCTCAGGTATTATTCCTTCCTGACTTTACACTGGTTCTTCTTATTTTGCTTTGTCCATGCGTATGTTGAATCACTTCATCGTTTCTGGTGACAGGGCTTGGTCGATTTCTTGCCATTGGCCCGAGATAGCTCGGGCAAGTCGATAAAGGGCCTCGAGAATACCATCGGCTACCTACAAGATAAGAACTCCACCCTTGTGCAGCACAATGCTAAGCTCCGCGAGACCCAGACAGAACAAAAGGTCGAGCTCGAAGTCAAGATTAAATCCCTTGACGAGGAACTTACCAAGGGGAATAAGGTACTCGCGGAGAGAGAAGCCGCCCTTGCGGCCAAGGAGCTTGCGCTGGCAGAGAAAGAAGCCGCGCTCAAGGAGAAGGGGCTGCGCTCGAGCAAGAAAGGGTTGCTCGAGTTCAAGCGGAGACCGCTCGAGCTCAGGCGGAAGCTACTCGAGCGCAGGCAGAAACCGCCCGGGCGCAGGCGGAAACTGCTCAAGCTGAGCTGGAGGCTACTTTGGCCAAGGAGAGGGCTGCTCATGCCAACAAATGTAAACGCTACGCTGATGCTGCAGCTCTTCGAGCTCAGCAAATGATGTGGGGCACAACTACTGGGCAGCTCTTCCTCCGTGAATTTCGCGAGCAAGTGGTGGCCGACTACACGCGGTCACCCCCATTTCTGAAGGAGGTGCAGGATTTTGGGGTAGACTGCTTTCAGTTTGCCCTTCAAAAGGCCGGCGAGCAGATCGCCGAGGACGATTTCGTGCAGCTCGACCCCATGGTTATCTGGGAGGCCTTGCCCAAGGTTCCTTCCAATTTCTAGGGCGATCCTAGCTTACCTCTCGAGCATGAGTGGTGGTCGGGACTGCTCGAAAGGACCCTGGCTCGATCAGATACTTTAAAGAAGACTTATGCTCTGCCCGATGGCCTTACTCCACCCGCCTCAATGCTTGCCGTGCTGACCGAGTCCGTACGCCAATGTCCTCTTAATGAAGCTTGTGACTCGACCTCCGGAACTAGCCATCCGCCTGATCCCAACGCCAATCAAAGCAATGCGG